CTCAGCTCGGGCTGGACTCAAACCGCTGTTGCTCAGAGCTCAAACTCTTGAGCGAGCTCTTAACCAACTGAGCCACTCGGCCGGCCCGAATAAAATTTTCTTGAGTTTGAAGAGTTATAAATCATTGTAACATCTGAAATTTTTTATAAATGCATGATTTGGATAACCTTCAGAAACAGGCAAAGCTAACCAACAGTTTTAGAAGTAAGACTGTTGGTTACCTGTGGGAGAAAGGAAAGGGTAGTGATTGGGAATGGACACAAAATGCTTTTGATGGGCTGGTAATGTTTTCGTTCTTGACCTGAGTGGTCATTAAAGAATACTGTTCTAGAATCCATTAGCACTGTTAGGCATTAAGCTACTTTCCTCAAGTTTCCAAACCACTACTCTTTCCTAACAGCTTACACACTTACGTATACTGTGTTAAATCCCCCAAAACAGGCTTTAAGCAAGATACATTATTCCACTTCAGATGCAAATTACTAATATCCTCACCTGATCAAAAGAAAACTAAATTTCAGTTTAATTTTTAATTTGCTTATCCCTAAGAAAATAGAATTTAGGTTACCTTTTGTGAGAGCTGGAGAGTCTTCCTTTTTCTTCCAATTATATAAAGATTTCTTTCCTCTTCACCTTTCTCTATTCTGAAGTCTTCCAACTTCCTACAAATTTAAGTATCCAGTTATATTAGTTACTGAACTGATGGATAAATATATTAACAGAAAAAATTAGTCATTATGATTCTAGGAATAAGCTTATACAAGCATATACTTTTTAAACAAACACAGAAAATTCCTCAAGTTATAATAAACCTTCATTCAAGCTGTATTTTATTATAAATTTAATATAAATACAAATATAATCTCAACAGCAGCTAGGAAGTACTATTTTTTGTATTTTACACAGAAATGGTCACTCATTTGTATTTTTATTGGCTCTATTAGGACCAATTCAAACCGGATCTCTCAAATTAGCTACTCAAAATGTCGCAAGACTTTTCAAGATTGCAGTTTTTTCCTCTCGAAAAAATAAGAGCAGAATCCTCCTGCTATTCTTACTGCATGTTTTACAATTTGTAGAAAACCAGAATACCAATGTAAACCAGTTGTTCTAATCACCTCTATTTTATTTACATGATAAAACAGAAAGATAATGTTACTGTGACCAATTTCAAAGCAAATAACCTCCCACCATGAGAAAGGTACTGATCATTATTTTTCTTCTCCATGGTTACAGAACTCAACTGACTCAATGTCCTTTTTCTCCCAATTTGAACATTACTGAAAACACATGGCTTTACGTTTTTTGTTCACTTTAAAACCCCACCGGAGGGCCGGCCGAGTGCCTCAGCTGGATAAGAGCTCGCTTGGGAGCACCAGCTCTGAGCAGCAGGGCTGCGGTTTGGATCCCGCATTGAGGGCCAGTGACGCTTGCCCTCTACAGGTACGATGGTGAACAACAGCTCAACCTGGAGCTGGGCTGCTGTGAGTCGCTGGCGACAATGTAGGCTGCAGCGGGGCTGCAGTGCGGTGCCGTAGTGCGGTGCCGTGAGCTACATGAGTGGCTGGCAGCCAGCGTGAGCGGCTGGTAGCCACTGTGAGCGGCCGACTAACGACCGGCGACCGA